CGCTGATAAACTAGCAATCATCTTCAAAGGACATATTGAACCTGGAAAAGCCGCTACACGTCCTTATAGCAAAAGAGTGATCAATCATCATTCCGAAGCACCACAGGACCCAGCTCCTTCATCAGCACTCAACACAAACGAGCCAGTGGTCACAGGAAGTGAAGGTGGAGCTGATGATGTTGACACAGTGATCGATGAATCACCACAGGACCCAGCTCCATTATCAACACTCTACACAAACGAGCTAGTCACAGGAAATGAAGGTGGATCTGATGATGATGACAATGATGGCGATGATGAGCCTACTCCGCATCACGGGATATTTAACGGTGTTGGTGTTGCAGAGTCACAAGATGTTGAAACTGCTGTAACCCCGGCGCCGTGTCACAGGTTCAATATCGAGCTGGTGGAGAAGATTCCAGCGAGTGCATCGGTTAAGGAGTACGAGTTTACCATTGGGGAATGCATGAAGTGTTTGGACGCCATGGAAGAGGTTGAGAAAGGTAGTGATCTTTACATGTTTGCGTTGGATTTGTTTGTGAAGAAAGAGTACAGAAAGATCTTCTTGCTGTTGAAGAACTCAAGTTTGAGAATGTCTTGGCTGCTTAGACGTCAATCTGGTGGCTCTACCATTGCTGCATAAGATCCTCTTATTCTCCTTAACTTCTCCTTGTCTTATTATGCTTAAAACTCTATTTATCTTTTCAAGAAAACAGTTTATGTTATTTGATGTTTTGTGGTTTGTTGTTTAAGTTTGTTTCATGTTTATTGGTATTATGTGGGAAACTCTTTTCTTTATTTTCTTCTTAATTATCTTTTTAGGAAAATCGTTTATTTTATATTTGTAGGTAATATTTAATTTGTTGGAGAATACCCTAAAATTCATTTCAGTAGAGTAAAGATATTAAACTGTTGGCTTATGACTTGAGATTATTCTTGTTCTAGAATTCTTCTTCAGTTGACAAATCACATGAATTAATTTGTTGGAGAATACCCTAAAATTCATTTCAGTAGAGTAAAGATATTAAACTGTAGTGCTTCTCTCTCTGGTATATTTGACTGAGACGAACATTCATCGCTATTCGCTACAAGTTCAATATGTGTTACAGATTTTTGGAGTTTTCTTGAACAACAAGTTACCTTTGTCTACAATTCACGCTCACGGGTAAACGAAACGAGGAAGGCTTCTATAGCATGCTCATATCTCGTGGCTTTGAGAGCGGTCGATGTATTATTGTCATTCTTCCAAACGCGGTGTACCTACCTTATCCGTTTCCTCGGCCTCATACCGAGAAAATCATCGTTTTCGGTGAGATTTTTGAAGCTCTAGACTCTAGTTAGCCAGTTACTCGATCATATAACTCATCTCTTTATTAATTACATTCATCAGAAGCCCAATGTAATTAAAAAAAAAAAGGGCCCAATGTAATATGCCAAACTAGCTCATATGTTTAGGGTTAACCTAGAGAGTTAGGGTTAACCTAGAGAGAATATATACTTTCTCTAGTTTTGGTTCATAAATATATTATTAGATGTCCTTCCAAATTAAGAACCAATCTACTTAAAATAAAACTAATCTTGCGCGTAAATTCATTTGGGTATCAGATAATAGTAATAATAAAACTCATAATAATCAACCTAAAACAGCATGCCATATAAACAACTGAAATTTGTTTTTCAAATTATGCGTGCAAACTAATTTATGTGTCGTATAAAAAAAATTTTACGGCAACTAAACTAATTACATAACTCGTAATATAACAAACAAAATTTTTATTTTTAAAAATGTAACAAATAAACTCATTTATGTACCGGGGATGTGCCTTTAGTCAAGTGGTTAAGTCTACTTCACTCCGCTTTCCCCACCGGAGTTCGACTCCTCTAAATCGCGTTACCCCGCGTAGTAGAGATTGGCTATGGATCGGGCCTTGTCGATCCAAAGATGTAAAAAAAAAACTCATTTATGTACCTAATAAAAATATATATTCTACGCTTAAACTTACCAAAAAACAATCATGGTATATAAAGCTAATAAAACTCTAAATTTTGACTATCTTCTTAATTAACACTAAAAAATCATGGTAATAATGATTTGGCAAATTTTATTTTTTTTTTGCCATAAATTGAAACCTGTCAACAGTCAACAAAATTTTTAATTTTTTTTTGCCAAAATAGATAACCGGATCTAACCGGTATGAAGATACGCCTAGTGATCTGAGAAAACAAGGCACTGTCTCGAGCGGCACAAACGCCAAAATCAGATATCAGCGAGAAAAATCGCGATCCGGCTTTTTCAGCCAAACAGTAACGAAACAGAATCGCTCTGGCCGCTCTTTGTCTAATTTCCGGTAAACGTTTACATATTCCTTTGCTGTTTTGTAAAACTTTCTTCTTCTTCTCCGGCGACAGTAGTAGTACCCAATTTCGAGTTTGATTTATCGGTTTTATCTAGACAAAATTGCGATTCTCAAAATCGTTATTTTCTTTTTCAATGTTAGGGTAAAAGAGCAACTCGATCTAGTGTACATAGCTTAACTCTAAATTGCATAATTGTCATCACATGAATGATCGATCCATCACTCGATCTGATAGATTTTCAGAATTTGCCTCATTGCTTTTATCTTATTTTAACATGAATTTGTTAGAATCTATGCATTTTTGCGAGTAATGATTCCAATCAAAAGCAATAATGGAATGACAAATGTGGGTTTAGTACCACAAATGCTTCTCAACTATGTCTTATCTATTGATATATAGTGAACAACTATGATGCCGAAAGCTGCGTGGGAACCCGAATACCACAGAGTATTTGTGGACTTATGCGTCGAGCAAAAGATGTTGGGGAATCAACCTGGAACGCAGCATATATTGAAACCTTTTCTTCAAAGAACTGGCGCTAGGTTCACCAGAAACCAGCTTAAGAATCATTGGGATACAATGATCAAGCAGTGGAAGATTTGGTGTAGACTTGTTCAATGCAGTGATATGCAATGGGATCCTCAGACTAACACGTTTGGTGCCACTGATCAAAACTGGGCCAATTATTTACAGGTACAGAGAATTGTTTCTGTTCGGTGTTGTTTTTTTCTTTTAAAGGCTATAATAAAAACTCGTGATTGGATTTTGTCACAGGTGAATCCTGAGGCTGGGCAGTATCGGTTGAATCCTCCATCGTTCCTCGAGAAACTTGAGCTTATCTTTGAAGATAGTAACTTAGATGATGAAGGTACTTCAGGTAGCAAAAGGAAGCGAATATGCAAGTATCCTGATGATGAAAATGATACCGCAGATGAAGATACGCAAAGCGCTTCTAATTTCTCGAGTCCTCAGTCGAAAGGATACTGGTCACCGTCCTCACATGAGCTGTTTGTTGATTTGTTGTTCCAAGAGGCGTTAAAAGGAAACAGACCTGACTCACATTATCCAAAGGAAACTTGGAAAATGATGCTTGAGACGATCAATCAGAATACCGGTAAAAGCTTCACTAGACCGCAGCTCAAAAATCATTGGGATTGCACCAGGAAATCGTGGAAGATCTGGTGTCAAGTAATTGGTGCTCCCGTCATGAAATGGGATGCTAGTTCCCGAACATTTGGCGCTACTGATGAAGACTGGAAAAACTACTTAAAGGTAAAAAACGCTACTCAGACTTTTTATATTAAATTTTGCAGCTTAACATTGGATCTTTTTTGGTTTTTATTGTTGATTTACAGGAAAATCATAGAGCTGCACCATTCAGACGGAAACAACTTCCTCACGCGGATAAACTAGCAACCATCTTCAAAGGACTTATAGAACCTGGAAAAGCCTATTTCCGTCCTTATCGTAGGAGAGTGCTCGATTATCATTCCGAATCACCACAGCTACATGACCCAACTCCATTATCAACACTTTACACAAACGAGCCAGTTACAGGAAGTGAAGGTGGAGCTGATGAAGATGACAATGATGACGATGATGAGCTAACTCCGCAGCACCGGAGATTTAACGGTGTTGGTTTTGCAGAGTCTCGGTTACAAGATGTTGAAATTGTAACTCCGGGATGCCACAGGTTCAAAACTGAGCTGATGAAGGGGAGTCCAGTGAGTGCATCGGTTAAGCAGTACGAGTATACAATTGGGGAATGCATAGAGTGTTTGGACGCCATGGAAGAGGTTGAGCAAGGTAGTGATCTTTACTTGTTTGCGTTGGATTTGTTTCTAACGAAAGAGTACAGAGAGATTTTCTTGCTGTTGAAGAACTCAAGTTTGAGAATGTCTTGGCTGCTTAGACGTCATTCTGGTGGCTCTACCATTGCTGCCTAAGATCCTCTTATTCTCCGAAACCTCTGCTTATGTCTTATGTACGTTTTTCAAGAAAACAGTTTCTTTTATGTACTTTTTTGTTCAAGTGTTTTTTTTTGTGTTGATGGGTAATATCTAGTATGTTGGAGTAACTTAGAGCTCTTTTCAACAGTGTGAGATGTTAAATTATTAAGCTTATAAGACTTATGAGTAATCAAAATTAGTTGACAAGAATCTTCCATTAGGTAGATCGTGAACGAATATTATTGTAAGAAACTTTAGGTTCCTTGCAAGATTTCATGACAGTTGGAATATTATACTCTCTGTCTCTATTGCAGATGAGGAAGAAAAAAAAAAAGAGAATTCGCGCCAGGTAGGGGTCGAACCTACGACCTTCTGCTTAGGAAACAGACGCTCTATCCACTGAGCTACAGGCGCTTTTGATTGCATAGTCTAATTACATTTAAATAACCAAAACACATAGTATATGTCTCCGTGTGGACCAGAGAAAAGGTGATAGAACAATAATTTGTCGTATTCGAGAAATTAAATAATAGAATCAATTAGATCAATCAACTTTTTTTTCCTGACAAAAATGAACCGCAAGAATCCGAGTGGAGTGGTGCCATTCGCTGTTCTCCAATCCAAATACGCCAAATCTTCCCAATAAAGAAACCTTTCCTTTCTTCTCCTCACTCAGTTCCCAATTCTACAGTGACTCCTCTCTCTGTATATTACTCTTATTCCTCCTTCACTATCTCTCTGTCTCTTAACTGGGTCTTCAGCTTCTGAGTCTTCTCTCTCTCTCTCTCTATCTGTCAAGTGGGCTTTGCTGTTTTTGTCTTCCTTCGACGACTCTCTTTTGCAGATTCTCATAGATTCTTCAAAGCTTTGAGTCTTTTTCAGATTCCAAGGTCGGTTTTATATGCTTCAAATCTCTCACCCAAATCAGGTTCTTGATTCCCTCAGTATACGATTCTTGATTTTTCCTTCCCTTTTGTTCTTCTTTTTCTTTGATTCCTTTTATATTATCATTAAATCCTATATATGAAAAAGCTTTCCATCATTTCCTTATATCACAAAGCAATCTTTTAAGCTTCCACACAGAGCAAGAAAATGGACTTTTTTGAGTTGTGTTTTAGTTGAAACTTATTCTTCCTTTTTTTTAGGTATGGAGACTCTGCATCCATTCTCTCACCTACCTATCTCTGACCACCGGTTCGTTGTCCAAGAGATGGTGAGCTTACACAGCTCCAGCAGCAGTAGTAGCTGGACTAAAGAAGAGAACAAGATGTTCGAACGAGCTCTTGCGATATACGCTGAAGACTCGCCTGATCGCTGGTTTAAAGTTGCTTCCATGATCCCTGGAAAGACTGTTTTGGATGTTATGAAGCAATATAGCAAGCTTGAAGAAGATGTTTTCGATATCGAAGCAGGACGTGTTCCCATTCCTGGTTACCCTGCAGCTTCTTCTCCCTTGGCGTTTGATCCTGACACGTGTCGGAAACGGCCTAATGGAGCCAGAGGATCTGATCAAGATCGAAAGAAAGGAGTCCCTTGGACGGAGGAAGAACACAGGTTAATACACTCTTTAAGCTCTATAGGTTTTCTTTGCACATAAGTCACTCTTCCTAGGTTTCTTGCAACGCAAGACATTCCCCTGTTTTTCTTATGGTTTTCAACGCTCTGTTTCTTGTTCTTTGCAGGAGATTCTTGTTGGGGCTTCTCAAGTACGGTAAAGGAGATTGGAGAAACATATCAAGAAACTTTGTTGTGTCAAAGACACCAACGCAAGTGGCGAGCCACGCCCAAAAGTATTATCAGAGACAACTCTCCGGAGCCAAGGACAAGCGCCGGCCAAGTATCCATGACATCACTACCGGCAATCTTCTTAATGCCAATCTCAACCGTTCCTTTTCCGATCACACAGGTATCCTCCCTGATTTAGGGTTTATCGACAAGGATAATGCTGAGGACGGAGTAATATTTATGGGTCAGAATGTATCTTCAGAAAACCTGTTTTCTCCATCACCAACTTCATTCGAAGCTGCCATTAACTTCGCCGGACAAAATGCTTTCAGTGCCGGAGCTTAAGGTAACATATAATCCCCCAACTCAGCGTTCTAAAGAAGTTGAGTTTTGAAACTGTAATTAGAGGATTATAAGCAAAACCCAAGCTTATTATATGTATTGTAATTGTGTTGTTTAAAAGTAACAATTTGTTTTTTTTTACATGAATGTGACTCTGTGTTTTTGTGTGTTATATCTACTAAATACCTATTAATTTTTTTTTTTTAAAGTGTGTTTTGTTACCATTAATTATAGACTTGCGAAAAGACTTGTGCTTTATGATAACATTTAACCACAATACATCTATTTTATGGTGTTAAATGCAAAGATATAATAAAGACTCAAGAGATCCAACACCACACAAAAATGAGAAATTTGTTAAATGTTTAAATGTTTGGGATTGGATTTGGATTTATTTTAAGGAGATGGCTATAGTATAGTTTTTAATATTGAGAAATTGTTGGTGGAAGGTACGAAGAATTGATTTGAGTATAATAGAGGCTGAGTCTGCTTTCCACTTCTGACCAAAGAATCTCATTCTTCTCATCTATTACTCCAACCCCTTTGCCTCCTGACTCAAATCTATATCATAACGTATTTAGAATTACGTATAATGGTGTCATTTGAATACAAACAAATATGAATGAATGTTTATTTTATTAGAAAATTAATCATTTGTTGTCCCAATCTAAACACTGGAGAATAAAACGAAAGACACTCCATAGTATTCAACTCTCTGACCATAGTCATCATTCAGCAAACTTATCGTTTTAAATCATGAACCAGTAATAATTAATGTCTACTTCTATATCTAATTTTTGTATAATAGTGATGAATAATACATGATTTTCAAGAAAGAAAAAAGAGCTTTTATTCATTTTCAGGCGAATATAAACACTAAGATATTATTATGTACTTAGGTATAATGTCGTCGATAGCTTGAGGATGAGGTATTTTGAATTTTTCTGCTCACATAATGAATTTTGCAACTTGAAACAACTTAATAATTTGTAGTGATATACTGATATGAGGTATATATATGGTATAATGTACTGTTTGCATGGTAATTAGTTAACAAATCTTATCAATTTCTTTGTATAATTTGATAGAATGAAATTTGTTCTTTATTCTTTATTAGCGATAGAATTAAAATTTATGACCCTCCTTTTTTTATATGAAAACTTAAAATCATTGGAATGTTGGATAATCATGTAGAAATGATCAGGATAACAAAGGGCAATATAAAGAAGAAGTTTGTTTCTACCAAAGGCTAAACTTAATGAAGCAATTATATTGTCCTATCATAGTTCATATGTCAAAGAAATCGGATTAGTTTTTTTTTTTTTTTTTTAAAAATCGGATTAGTTGAATTCTCTCTCTTCTATATTAGATGAATCTTGATCATCAATTGTGATATATGCTATTGCAATTTGTGAGATCCTATTTCGGATAAAGAAAACAAAGTAGTTTTTTCTTTCTTGCAACTTTATGGCTTTATTTCTTTTGCCACCCTTTTGTTATTTTGTCACTTTCGATCTGGTCGCTTCGATGGGATCTACATGCCTTACACTCAGAGCCGGCCCTAGCCACAAGCTAGGGAGGCATGTGCTTGTGGCCCCAGATGTAGTTATTAATATATCGGCCCTCCTTTTTCTAAAATTCTCTTATAGCTCAACGGTTAAATGTTGGCCAGAAGGAAGTGCAAGGTTGAGGATTTGATTCTGACACTTGCAGTAATGCTTTAACAATTTTTTTGAGAAGAAATTAGGCCTCTCTTTTTTTCTAAGCTTGTCGCCTTCAAAATGTTAGAGCCGGTTCTGCTTACACTGATGTACCAATATCAAAAAAAAACATTCAATGTTCTTACGTCATACATGCATTACTATATACTATACAGTATACACTATTAATTTTAATAGCGTGTGTGTACATATCCACTATTCGATGACAAAGATTTGCGATGCTGATAACTTTGAGAACAACAGGAAGCAAAAGTAGATATAGATTTAAAGTGCATTTACCATTTGTTAGATCTTTCCCATAGCAAAGTTAAGGACATATTCTAGAGAATTGTTAAATAACAGTTATAATATTAAAACTAATTGTGATAAATTTTTGTAAAACTGATATTTTAAAATATGTCAAAGAATTCAAAATTAAATATTACTTATTGCATGTATATTATTATACCGACATATGCTACGTGAGTACAAACATCATAAAGAACATTGAACAATAAAATAAGTAGGAGAAACATCGAGAAGCTTTACGACCTAAGGCTAATCCTTCCTAATCATGAACATATTTTATGTAAACGACAAAACTGAATTTATAATCTTTGTTAATTGTTTTATCAAGAAGAAAGAAAATGTTCTTCGAAAGTAGGCTTAAAAGCATAATGCGTAACAAAGCACGTTCATGATTTCATAATTTCAAATTTTCCGCTTATCATCATATCCTTTTCACGAAGCTTACGCCACTAGTGTGCCTTTATTTTTCTTCCAAACACCTCTTTTTTTTTTTTTGCGGCCCTTCAATATGGTCTGATTGGTAACAAAAAGCTGTATAAATTTTTTAACTCTTAGCTAAAACTGTAAGTTTTACCGGTATAAAACTGTAAAAAAAAATTAAGAGTAAAACTGTTAGTAACGTTTTTGATAAAAAAATTTTGATTGGTAACTGTCAAAATTGTACACCATGTACCGTTTTGATAATGGATTACCAAACATATATCTTTATTTTTTTAGTTTTCTATTTTTCATATAACAAAATCTCAATAAAGAAAAGTGACAATCTTCTTCCTTCTTTTCTCTACCAATGTGAACACTTGTTCACCCACTTTGTTTTTATTTTAAATTATTTTTATAACCCCGCCCCCGGACCGGATCTCTACACATCCGGTGTACACGAATCTAATTTTGTGATTTTCAATATTTTAAACTATGGTAAGTTATCCTCCATAACTTGGTTGCCTTATAGATCAGAGGAGACGATCTATCATAGTTTAAAATATATAAACGATCATGTAAACCAGTTGATAACCGGATCCATGACATCTTAACCAAATCCGAAAAGATCCCAATTTTCATCATTTACTCACTCAACCGAAAACCAGAATACCCCTGGCCAGTTCGTGTCATACTCAAAACGAGAGCAACTTTCATGGAGATTTCAGCACATATTGATGTAATACTTACTTTACTTATATCATCTTTTAAAGGAAAAATTAGGGAAACTCAAAATAAAAAATCTTTCGAGACAGAAACGACATTAATAACATAACCATTGTAGAAACAACTTTCATCGGAACGAGACCAAACCCGTTTTGTTCCCCAACAGACCCTCTTGACATGCAGGAAATGACAGTAACATCCAATTAGAAAACCTCCCAAACTCGAAATTTGGCTGCATTTAACTCCCACTGATTGCAGGTATGGCAACAGGCTTTGAGTCCTCTGCTTTTTCATGTTCCTTGTTCAATAACTGGAGACATAGCATCCACAGATGAACAAAACAATTTTTGCTTAGAGCAAATTCAATGAGAGAGAGATGATCGTCTAACCTTGTTGTTGATCAAATTGTGGAGGGCGATTACACTTCGGATAAGCGCCGATAGGTAGATTACGAGCATCATGTCATTTGTTTTCACTGTACAAAAAATGGATAAAGTTAGAAGAAAAAAAAAAGAGTGCAAATGAGAGAATACCTGTGTGAACATAAAACTTCAAGGAAGAAAAAGCAAACCTGCAAAGGCCTTAACCAACTCGTTGACGTTCAAGTTAGGAAGCAAGTTGAATACGTCCTACAGATTGCAAAAGAGTATTTAGTTTAGCTGAATAATCCTTAATAGCAGACACAGATACTGGGAAAAAGCAAACACGAAAACAAGTTTGATTCTACTAGTCAACTAGAATTAAGAGATGTGAGTATTTTAACCTGAAGATGGTACAAGATTTCATGGTTTAAAGGGAGTTTTCCTTCGATTACAAGGTCAAGGTAACTCCTGATCTCCCGAAGTCGTGCATCCAATCCCTTCAGAGCAGTAAGTTTCGCCGTGACCTGAAATACAGTTCACAAAAATTTTCATTTCCTCAATATATGTTCCCCACATTTTATTTTGAGAGCAACAATCATGATTTGGAACATTAAGAAGCTTGATGATGAAATGCTTAAGTTATGTGTGAAGAAAATAACCTCAGTTGCCAAGGTACTGATGGTTGTGTCTTTTACATCTCTGAGCAAATGTTCCACACCTGTTCAAGACCAACCAACCGGCGTAAACAAAGCAAGTAAGACTCCAATGAGTTTCCTCAGAAGCAATTACAAAAGAAAACATCCCATCATTTTTATGCTCTGAAAAAAGGAATCAAACCATCAAAGGATTTGTTTTCTTCATGTGGACATACCAATTTCCTCAACTTCGTGAGCCGCAATTTCTGTAGGCACGTGTACAAACACCTGCTGACTTTTCTGGGTAGCATTCTGCAGAGAAAGAAGTTCAGATCAAGACAATTAGATAACTAAAAATGCAGAAAGATAAGAAAACAAATCAAGTATGTCAGATGCAACTTAACAGTCAAGCAAGTGATATGGTTAGAAAATTGGCTGGTATTTACCTCCTTCACCTCCTCAACTGCATAGTATGCCTTTGTAGGGATTCCAAGTTCTTTAGGTTGGACATCAATAATGACCAACACTGGATTTGGAACGTAGCTGCAACACCAGAAACTAAGATTAAAACCCAAAGTTATACAGAAACCAGACCATCAAACCATATTATTAGATTAGACCATCATATCTCATATTTTAGAATGGTTTTGCCTGAAGCCATGGGCTTACCCATTAAATAAAGCGTGAACATCCAAATCATTCTCTCGAAGTTTAGGACCTGTTCTGTACCAACCCACAATATGCTCCTTAGCTGAAAGCAAAGATTAAATCAGTCAAGAAGAGGTTTTCCACATCTATATTCTTAAGCATTATCTTCCCCGAGCAATACCATTAATTCTCTTGAACATGTGAAACATCGACTCGTGGTAGTTGTGATCAAGAAACCAGATGCTAGTGTCTTTGTCATCCTCCTCAAAAGGCACTGTAAAACCAAGATACAAAAAGTCAAACAAGTGATGTGCAAGTAACAACGCACTTATGACCAGGCTCACAGTGTAATGTACTGTGCAAAATCAAATGAAATATGTTAAACTCTCTCAACCACCATATAATACTCATCACTCCGATATGGAATTAGACCACTAGCACCAAGTTTGACAGAATCCAAGTACCACACAATCAACCTAAAACTAAGTCAATTTTGCAACCAAAAAGTTACAAAAACCCTAAATCGATGTAAATTTCACATAAGAACAATAAACATATTGAATTCTAGAATCAGCAAGAGCTCAGCAAACTTTCAGAGATCTGTGAGAACCAAGAGAAAAGGAAAAGTTAAACTACGGCACCTGCGTAGCTGTTGGTGACGTCGAAAGTACCACGGGAGCTGTTTCCGAGCAAAACGCCGACGACGCGCTTGCGTGTATCCTTGGCTACACGATTGTAATGGTCGACGATACTAAGCAAGACAAGTGGGTGAACGATCACTTTCTCTATCGTCCTTGCCGATATTTGTTGCGTCTTTATAACATCCATTGTTCGGTGAATCAAATTCGCTACTCAAAAAATTTCTCCGGGAATGTTCAAAACCTCAACTTCCGATTCCGTTTTTCTCCGACGGAGCTTGAGTTTGCTTCTTCTCCAGGAAAACCTCTTTAATTAACCTTCGGTAGCACTCACTATGGGTTTAACTAAATACTGGGCCTTTGTATTATAAAGCCCACTAATATGGGCCTTAAGGACAATGATCTGCTTAAAATAATATAAACAATTACATGATTAGTAATGTATTATCTTGTAGAGGATTATTAATTTGTTCATTTAATAAGAGTTGTTTTATAAGATTATGGAATTTTCTTGGTCTAATGGTAGGTCAAGACTTAAGTGTTTTTAAATAATGCAAATTTTATAAATTAATAGAGACAAGTTTATATAGTATTTTTGTTATGCAAATAGAACTATTTTCCGCAAGGCGGCATGCAAAACCAAAACCTTAAAACAGATTAAACTTCAAAAAGCTTTCTACCATTTATATATTCATAAATAATCTCTTTCTTAAATTATTTAAAGACAACATAGAAAAATGCATTCACAAATCACAACCTTAGTTATATGATATATATATACATATACTAATTCCATAACATAGATTCTTATATCAAACAAAATGAAAATAGTGAAAATTAGACAACTTTGTCTATGTCATAACTCATGCATTGGATGATACAAGTGATCATAATTTAAAACACGACAACATCTCTTGAAGGTTAAAGCGTCTGTTTTTATGTGGTCAATAATTCAAAGAAAGCTTAATCGAAGATCTAACGGCGGTGGATGTTCCATCTCAGCACCACATGATGAATATGGAGAAAACGACGTTGTGTTGTTGGTCTCTCGAATATATTCACGGTAATGGTTATTGCTTCTAGCTCTCATTTTCTCCACCTTGGAGTTAGAGTCTTCAAATGAATTCACCGGAAAGAGTTGCAATGTCTCTATCACTTTCTCTTCCTCTTGACAATCTTCTTCGCTTATCTCAAAAACATCTACGAAATATACCAATATCATCCATCAAATATAATCTTTAAAATTAACAATCATTATATATATATATAGATAAAGAAACTAGAGATTAATTAATTACCTCTAGTTGATGGTTGATGATGATGGTGATCAAAATCAATGGAGATTTTACGACGTTTCTGCCTCTCCCTAGCCTTATGATTCTGGAACCAATAGAAAACGTTCTTGCTCTCGATCTTGCCGTAGAAACTGAGCTCCGTGGAGATCTTCTGAATCTGATCAGTGGTCGGAGTTCTAAGACCAGCTCGAAACAGATCAGTCAATATCTTCAACTGCTCCACCGTGGGATTCCATCTCCCGCACTTTGTCCCCGTCCCTCCTCCTCCTCCGTTGTTGTTGCCACGTAAGCTTCGACCTTTCATGGAGAAAGACATTTTCAGATATAAACTCCTAAACTGTTTACGTTTTAGGGCCTGTATGTATTCATATATATAGTGGAGACTTATTCACACTAATTTATTATGTTTTGGGATTTTCTAAGGTAAAAGGAGAAATGAATTGATAAATTGTCGGGAGGAGAGGTTTTCGAGTTTTGTGTCGTTTTATGATGAGTTGTTTATTACGAAATGCATGCTTTGTTTTTTTTGGGGATTTGGGAGAGACTGATCTTTGCAGATTTGATCGTTTTCTTTATCCTAACCTATCTAGGCTTCTGTTCCATGTATACATATATACATATGTTTTGTGTGTATATAATTGGATCTCCCATTGACAATGACATAAGTTGTACTAATGTCAATATTCTAATATTCAACATTGTAACTTCAATACTTCAATATCATCATAAATAACTATTCCGAATTATTTGTTTTTTACATATTGTATATTGTCCAAAAAAAAAAAGGTTGAAATAGTTCTAAAACACAAATTATATGCAAATACATTAATATAGACGGATGGCCGATAAGTGGATATGAATGAAGATGATAAGACTTAATCATAAACATCATGACATTGTGTGAACATATTGTAGTTTTGTCTCTCTTCCACAGAAGATGTGACACTTGAGGAAGTTTGGTCGGCAAGTGTAGACAGGAAATTTGAAATTTTATTCTATATATAAGAAAATATAATATATTACACGTACATGATACATCTGAATCATATATATTTACAAAAGAAAAAGCCTTTAATAGACAGAACCAGAAGGTCCGCCAAACACATGTATTAACTATATATATATCTATAGTAATAACTAATAAGTCCTACAGCAAAATATTTGTAAAAAGCTATTTATTTAGTCATCAAGAACTCTTCTAGAATGAGAATGGTTGAAAGATGACTGCAAGAGGTAAACATTATTTTTAACCATCAATAAAACTCATCATTAGATATATTTTTTCGATAATGTGACATATAGTGTTTTACTAGTCTCTATATGCTACCTTGTCAATTGGATCTGATTTTCTGAATCTGAAAATGAGACACAACTTGCAACAATACTCACATAAAACAGTATACTGCCTGCGACCGTAAAAATAGTTTACAATAAGTGTACAACTCATACATGTCTTTACAATCCAACTCTTAAAAAAATTTGAGAAATTTGCATCATCTAAATGTTTTAACAAGAAACTTTTGATTTCTAATTGACACTGAAAAATAGAAAATGAAAACTCGAGCAATATCTTATTTCGCTTATTTGTATTCATGTGTGCGTCAAAATGTTTTAATGGTGAGGACTTAGATGAGACATGCACGGGACGCTAAGCAAGACGTAAATGGTCCAAATAATAAAATGACAATGTGAATAAAACCAAACATTGTTTTTATAAACAAAGTACTCTTCACTAAACAACATAACAGTACTTACAAATATCTTTGTCTCTCTCGCATATAAACTGCATCTTGTTTTTTAAATTGATCGATTCGGTGTCAAAGTCAAAGTTCACGTGGCTTATGATACTTGGAATCATCCCAGTTAATTTTACATAACATCTTTGTTTAGTTTTTTTTTGTTAATATCCTTTTTCATTAACCTCATAATTTTCTTACCGGGCATCTCATAATCTTTTTCATTAAGCATATTTGTGGATATCCCTAATTTTAATTCGGTTTAGAGAAACTTTATGCTTTATAAGTTTCGTGAGATAAAAAGTAGGAATGCGCCCAATTACTGGCCGGATGACAAAAAGCTATGAGTTTTACGTTAAAAAGTTTAGATGGCATGCATGCCGTGGATTTGAGATATTAAAAATTTAAAACTCTTGTATGGAAAACTCTCGTATTGGATGCCCACAAGCCACAAACCTTAGATATATTGTTCTTTTGCTATATTTTTAGTTGTATATGCTCTTATACAACATTCACTAGTTTGCATAGTTTTTTGGGTTGTGTTTTTTTCTTTCTTTTTACACAAGTCCGGGTTCCAAGTTTTGGGAACCTCAAAAAGCAACCTTGGTTTCTAATTTTAAGTTTATTGTTACTATTATTTTAAAAAAAAAACGAGAGAGCAATCAATCAACCCGTTTTTGTTAGTGCAATGGACACCTATGGAGGTTTTTTTTTGTTTTTTTTGTTTTTATTCTAAACACCTATGGAAGTTGTCTAGCCTTAATGGACAACACTCTTGATTTAAGTAACTGCTGAGAAAACTTTTCGAACATAGAGTTCAACTATTATACTAAAATAACGAAAGAACAACTACCAAAACATAATCGAGAAATTAGTTTTAAGACAGTATTGTTCTTAAGTTTGAATAGGATTACTTTAATGTATGCATTTGTATTTAAATTTAAAATTATACAGATTCAAAGTTGCAAACCCAAGGGAGATGAGAAAATTTGCTTTTGATGAAAGTGTTTCTTGCTTCACATCGTTTTTTTTTTTTGATAATCTTGCTTCACATCGTTAATTAATAGTGTTTTAAGATGATCAAAGCTTAAGATTTGTTTCGCTATTGAGTAGTTAATATAAAGTACGACGATCAAATTTTGCAAGATGATTAATTGATTACATATATACAAATATCATCGGAGTTATTTATTTTGTATATAGACTGCTGGCTCAGACAGCGAGAGTTGCGTTCTTATCGTAGTCAAAAAAGTTGAAGGCGGTCTCACATCGTAATGCCCACTAACATTCAATTCCCTATGATGTTCCATGTACCACATAATATATACATATTAGTTTATATTTAACGTCAATATATATATATAGTTATCTATAACCTCTATAGTATAATTATCTGATACGATCATTAGAATAATATAATTACTAAAGATTGAGACGACATCAGTTTGGGGACTCATTCTTGGCTGGTGGTGTTTAGGCTCTAACTACTAGGTCAATGTTGTGGTATGATCTAACTTCTTTTTTAATTGTACGTTCCATATTTTTTTTCCACATTACTCTCATCAAAAGGTTCAACTAATACCAAATCTTAAAAAGAAACTCTATTCATGTCAAGCGTGTAACTTTCCTAAGTAATTTTCTTACTTGATACTATTATTTTAAAGGTTTCCTTCTAGAAACTTTGAAAATGCATATAGAAACATTTTATTTTACTAGGATGGTAGTTGCATATAAAGCTTTTGGAAGGCAATTGAAGAAAAATATCTAAATTCAAATTATTATTTGTTCACAAGCTTACATGGGAAAGAATTTAAGGTTTAGAGATTTGTAAAAAGTAGCGACATGTATTGGTCTTCTTTGTCCTTTGTCTTCTCTGTATGTCCAGTACAATTTCCTATCTATATTTCTAAGCACTTTAACATACGTAAGTGGGATGAAATAGTGTCACTTAAAAATTTGACAATTAAATCATTCGCTCAAGTCTCAACTAATATATATATAGCGGTATTGTTTATCTAGTAATTTTTCAGAGAATGCAGATGTGTTGTTGACTAATTTTTGACGTGTGATAGCCTCCAAAAACGAGAATGCATAAGATATACATATTTCATAGTTAAACTCCAAACTTTGGTATAAGTTTTTTTAAAGATCTTAATTCCACTCTTTTCTATTTCTTTAACAATATACAACTAACTAACGTTGTGTTGGCCCAGTGGTAAATCTTCTAGATGGAGATACTGGGTTCGCCGTCTGTTGGAAGAGATCTCTTCTAAAAAAAAATGAATTTAACCTGGTGTGCGTCATGTTTCTGGGAGATGTAGGACTTTCGAACTTGAATTTCCGGATATTCAAGAAAAAAAAAAAAAAAAAAAACAATACACAACTAGCTTTCTATTCAGAAAACCCGTTAACAGTGTTTTATATGTTAGTAACAAATTTACAAATGTCCGATTTATATTTATCAAATATTGATCCAACATAAATTAGGATTAGAATTAAACAGAAAAGTAGGAAACCAGGATGGATTCAAGGCATGAAATTAGGGCACGCGTGAGATCTTAGGGCAAAGAGCCTACTGCGAAGGAAAGCATTAGAATTTAGAACAAATAAACGTAAACTTTTTAATTAATTGAAAAGTGTAATACCTCAGATATCATAGGTTTTATAAAATCGTGTCTAAAGTCTTCTTCTGCATCAATATACTTTTAAAAGACACACGATAGTGTCTATCTATCGACACATTTTGGCAAGCAAATGTGAAATGTGACATTGTTTTGTTTAAAATTAAACACAAGCTCAAATCAACAAATAAGAATATTTGTTTTATAGTCCATCTAAATCAGAGAACCCCAATGAGTCAGTGACCTATATACTCCAATCCTTCAGAATTTGAGTTATCGAGCAAAAATCACAATTTGAGTTAAACCCAAATAGCTGTGTTTGTGTTAGCTAATATTTTAATTAATAAATCTTGTTCAGGCATAAAAAAAAACACAACATTTCTTTTTACCAAACATATTTTTGAAGTTGGTAAATAAAAGTCTTTCCAAAAAAGGATAATAACGTAAAATCTGAATTTGCTTAAAACCAACAAATTTGAGATCAGCATTACTACAAACGAAGCAACACTTATTAGATAAAAACTACTCTTCATCGAACAAACCGAAACCACCCTCATAGTCTTCTTCGTCTGATTCTTCTTTCTTCTCCTCCACCTTAGCAGCAGCTCCAGCTTGAGCACCACCACCACCTGCATCCGCAGACACTGCCGCTGCAGCAACAACAAACTTGCTGGGATCCTGCATTCCAAATTCACACCAGAGAGTTAGCATTAACAAGAACAATACTCCAAGCTTTAGTAATCACATAAAAAGATATACAATTTAATGACTAACCTTTAAGAATTCCTTGACCTTCTCTGCTTGAGGGAAAGTGTAGTCAGTGGCAACAGCAATAGCTAAGGCATTCTTGTATGCATTGATGAACATATGCGGCGCAGCAGCAAGAGTGGGGTAAGAGACAGCTAGAGCCAAGGAAGTGACCATAGAGATACCAGAAGCAAACTTCTCCACAAGTTGATCTTCTGTAAGATCAAGAACCTCTGGGCTGAAGACTGAGCCATTGTCATAAACCGACTGAACAACTAGACCATACGAGAAAGGCCTAATGCCAAGCTTAGCTAAAAGGGCAGCCTCAGAAGACCCAACCTTGTCACCTTGCTTAATAAGCTCCACAGGGGTGATAATTTCAACAGTACCCTTGTTAATCTTAGTTGGGATATTAAGCACCTAAACATTCCAAAAAACACATTCATGTTTCAACAACTTCATCTTTCGTATTCAAACGAAAACGGCTCGCATTACAACGCATGATTAACCAAACCTGGAAGAAAGATGTTTGAGATGGATCGAGACCAGTGTTGCCAGGCTGAACAACCACATCAATTGGAGCAACCAAACCCACACGAGCAGGAGCACCAACCTGTGCACATCATAAAAGACTTCCATTTCAATCCAATCACATTGAGAAAGTATCACCATTTCACACAATACTATACACAAGTTGATATAGATGAGCTACACAGACTAATCAACCTTGTATTTGGCAACCTCCTCGCTCACTTCCTTGAGATCACCTTTAGTGAAGATCAAACCAACATTTCCCTATAAACAAACATAAAACCATCGCAAATTACAATCTAAAGTCTCAAGCGTCGAGAAAATCAACCTCAAACATTTTCCGAGAAGCTGAAATATTAACCTGAAGGAGAGGAAGCAGATTCAAAATCGCAGTGTTTCCAGTGTTCTCGGAGTGGATTCTAACGGAACGTTTCATCATGGTGTTCTTACCCATGAGAACCACTGAGTCTCCACGGAGACCTTTCCTGATGTTCTGAAGCTGAGTAGATCCGACGTTATCCGCCGCAACGACTAAGATCTGAGTGTATTCGTCGATAAGCTGACATAGTTTTGTGTCATACGCGATCTTCTTCTCTGCTTTCGTTGCCTTCACCATTGTTGTTGCTCAAAAGGATTAAAAAAACTCAAAATGTTCTCTGTTTCGGAGAGTGTTCGACAAATTGGGAAAGATGATGAAGGAGGCTAGGGTTTTGGTGATGATCTAAATCTAACGGCTCGTGTTTGTTTTGCTTAATTTCTGATCTGACGGCTCTTGTTTACTTTGATGAAATTGGGCTTTACCTTAAATTTGGGCCCAAATTAACAACATAACATGCGTGACGTTTCTTAATGTTGTGAAGAAAACTTCGTGTCGTTCATATTGGTAAAAACAACAAGGCGTTTCTCACTTTTTTTTCAAGAGAAAACCAGGAGCTTCTTCTCCTTCTTCATCGTCGGGAAGAGCTCATCGTTGTGAATTCTCTCCGATCATGTCGACGAGGAAAGCGAAGACGAAGAACGAGGCAAGTAGTAGCCGTGGTGGCGTCGGCGGAGAGAGTGTAGTCGCTGATTGTGGACGAAATAAATCCACTTGCGGTTACTGTAAATCTTCTACCCGCTCCAGTATCTCTCACGGTTCGTTCCCTCGCCGTTGAATGTTTCGTTTTTTAATTGTTCGTGAATCTTCGCTAGAGTTTGTCTTTGAATTGATCTGACTATCAAGCTAAGTCGAATTAAAGATTGGGGAAATTCGAAAATTCCTATTTTATATCTTTTGCTATGATAGTGTAAGACCAGAAATGTCCATGGTTTTGTATTAATAACTCAGTGAGTGAATGTGTATCATTTCCACTGCAGGTTTATGGACAGAGAGACTCACCGTTAATGACTACCAAGGTTTGTTACACCAATCTCATGTTCTTATGGATATTATTAATATGTTTGATTATGTGCAAACACAAAGTTTTGATTCTCTTTTCCGAGCTTAGTGATCATTTTGATGTATCTTTGCTTTTCTTTTTTGAATAGCTCTTCTTGACCGTGGATGGAGACGATCTGGCTGCTTCCTTTACAAACCTGAGATGGATAAAACTTGTTGCCCTTCTTATACAATCCGCTTGAAAGCAAGCGATTTTGTTCCTTCTAAGGAACAGCAGCGAGTGCGTAGAAGACTAGAAAGGTATATATATATATATATATATGGATGCACTCTTCTCCTCACTTTCTTCGGATATCAGTAGATGGAAATTGTACCAAGATTTATTTTTTAGTTATGTCAATAAAACCTTTCCTCTTGCCTTTAAAATGTGTTGTTGAAATTGTGTTACTTTCTCTCTCAACCAATTTGTTCTCAAAATTCAACGCAGTCTCGGAATGGGAAACTTCACTTCTTATTTTAACTGTTTCTGTGATGTTGTCTAAAAAGGTTCTTGGATGGCGAAATAGATGCGAAGCCGAGTGAGCAGACAGAATATCAAGACGTTTCTTTCTCCCGCGAAGTTTCAGGGTCAGTGAGAAAATCACTTGGAGCTGCTAAAAGAGAACAAAACAATGAAGTGGAACCAATCATGAAAGATTTGGCTGAACAAATTGATAATGCGGTACAAAGATGCATACAAAGTGGTGAGTTTCCTTCTAATATTCAGATTCCCAAAGCTTCAGTAAAGAGAGTTCTCTCTGCTAAAAGGAAGAAACTAGCTGAAGGGTCAGAAGAACTCTTATACACCAGCAACATTGCTTTCCCAATAGTAGCTGCAATAAAACGCACAGAGACATCTGAGAAAGGCAAAAACGTAGAAGAAAACAGATTATCACCAGAGGCTGTTTCTGAGAAGTTGTTAATTGCAATGAATAAGGTAGAAGAGTTTACTGGTTTTTCTGTTAAGGTCTCCAAGGGCCATATCAACTTCCTTTCAGCTACCGGAGTTACTTCCTCAGATAGAAATGAAGGTGAAGAAAGCCTCTGTGCTACAACAACAAAGTCTTCTTCGAACAAGCTTCGTGCAAGAAAGCGGAAGCTTGAGATGCACTTGAAAAGGTCGAGTTTTGATCCAGAGGAATATGAATTATACAAACGGTATCAACTCAAAGTGCATAATGATAAGCCGGAGAGCATCTCAGAAACTTCATACAAAAGGTTTTTGGTTGACACTCCGCTCATTGAAGTTCCGCCTTCAGGTTATGATGACGAAGAAAAGCTTCCTCCTTGTGGCTTTGGTTCTTTCCATCAACAATACCGAGTTGATGACCGTCTAATTGCTGTGGGGGTGATTGACATTCTTCCTAATTGTTTGTCGAGTAAATATCTATTCTGGGATCCGGATTTCGCATCCTTGTCTCTTGGAAACTACTCAGCCCTGCAAGAAATCGATTGGGTAAAACAGAACCAAGCTCATTGTGCTACTCTTGAGTATTACTATCTTGGTTATTACATACATTCCTGCAACAAGATGAGATATAAAGCAGCCTATCGTCCGTCTCAGCTTCTATGCCCTCTCCGGTACCAGTAAGTTCCTCAAGCCACAAAACTAAGACCAAATTGTTATCATAAGAGAGAGAATAAAATTGATTTTCTTGTATTTTGTTCTCAGATGGGTTCCATTTGAAGTAGCCAAGCCTCTGCTTGATAAAAAGCCATATTCCGTCTTGTCCAATTTCACTAAGGATTCTCTATCATCATCATCACCTAAAGCTTATGAAACCATAGTGCAATCCACGAGGGAACATGAAGACATGGAACAAGGGGAAACAAATGATGACGATGGTGATGAAATGTATAACTCTGATGAAGACTCAGACTCTAGCAGAAACCGGAATGACATTGCCAATATCCTTATCAGTCTTGATGGACCTCGACTTCGATACAAGGTACTATCAGCATTACTATCATTGCCCTCTCCTGTTTTCTTTTCAGATAATCAAATTCTCAAATCTTTGTAAAAACTTTATAAAAAATTGTGTTTGAAGGATATACCACGGATCAAGAATCCAGTGGTTCAGAAACAACTGGAATCGATGTTGATTAATTACAGGAAAGTTGTCGGAACTGAGCTATTGGAGAGAATGGTGTATGAACTCCGGTAACATTAAGCTTAACTCAAGCCACTTAAAAGCATTCTGTAACATAATTATAATATCAGTGCTGTCATGTTTCTCTTTATTTTGATCACATGATACCAAAAAAAGATGTAATTTATTTTTAAATTCGAATCAAATTGAACCAAAACGCGTAAATGAATAATTTGTTTTAGTTTGGCAAGTTTTCTCAGCAAACCAAAATAAGTCAAACCCCAAATGTTTGGAAACAAACTAAACTTAGGCAAATAAGATAATGAGAGATCTTTAACTTATGTGTCCAAAGTAGTTGCAGCAATGACCAAACAATTGATTTTGGAAGCTGTTCTAATGTAAGATGGATGGTTTACAAAATGAGGAAAAAAGAATAAAAAAAGATGAAAGAGTTGGAGGAGGGAATGTACAAATCAGATATGAATGATGAGATCAAGCATCATCAGTATCGCTATCTCCGGCTTCAACTTCTTGAGCCACCCAATAATTGTTCCCATCTGGACCCCAAACCTTGTACCTGTCAAGAATATGAACAAATGCATCATCTCAAGAATCTCTGTCAAAGAAAATACATCAGCGATTAAGATTAATCGGGTATTAACCTTTCGAGAACCGATTTTCCTTCCTTGTACTTTTGATTCTTCTCAAAAGCAAACTCCTGCATAATAAAAAAGAGGTTGACAAGATTAGATTAGCAAGCAAGAACCCCATGCAGAATACCAAAAAAGAAAAAGAAGAAGAAACATTTTGACGTTTTCATACATATTTCCATCCAACATAAGAGCCACATTTGACACAGTAAATATCAACTACGGTGTGCATTCCCGTCATCATCATCCTATCTTCCTTCTTCCCAGCATAAACATTCACTCTGTTCACACAAATCCATAACTGGTGAAATTGCATAGCTCTTCCTATCCATCAAAAGGCCATTTCAAAAGGATCTTCGGTTTTCTTCAAATCTGACTAGCCAAAAACCCAAATCAAACTTGGAGAAGAAAACTTACACCTTACTGAAGAGGTAAGCTTTCCCATGTCGGGATTGAAAAGACTGTAAAAAAATAGGCAAACAAGATGTTGTCAGTATCTTCCACATGCCACAATTCTAAGACACTGTGAAGCCAATGAGAGTAATAACAAAATGACATTGTGAAGCCATGTAAAAAAACCAACCAACACCACAGACTACAAATCAAAAGAGGAGAGAGTGTTACAATGTCTTGAACCATAAGCACTAATCAACTGCATATAGCATCTAACCAAAACTAAATCCAAATTAGCCACAGCTTAACCACCAATTAAATCAATATACGCAAAGAGAATGAAGGAATGTCTTTAGTATCTTCTATATGCCACAGATACTAAGAGATATTCCAAATCTTTTCACCATTATAAGAGGAGACAGAGAGTAACAATGTCTGAACCATAAGAACTTAGAATAATCGACTGCATTTAGCATCTAATCACAATGCAATATCACTGAGAACTCAAGATCACTGAGAAAGAGTCTAGCAATGTTTGAAGCATGGATTGATCTAATGAGAATGCAGGACAGTCTCCAAATAAAACTATCCCCAATTCTAGCTCCTTTTTTAGCAAATCATGATATATGTATCCAATATTGAGAGATATGATCATCTAGATTCCAGATATCATCAAAAAGCATATGATTTTCTCAATCAAATTAGATCATCTAATCTATGCAATCATCAAACACACAATCCTAGTGAAAAGAGACCCCATATGATGATGATGATGATCAGATCATCAAAAGAGATAAATCGCAATAACCCAGATTAAAAGATTTAGCAGCTAAAGTAAAAACATGTCAGATTCAAACCTTAGAGACAACATCATCACAGAGACCAAGATTGGTCTTGCAGTGCTTACAACTGTAAGACTTGCCTTCCAAATTCACCAAGAACAATCTCCCCATCTCTAAACTATTCCCAGAATCTATAAAAGCAAAAAAAAAATCAAATCTTCTTATGAGAAACCAATAGAAGAAAGAGTGTGTGTCATAAAAGGGAAGATGATCTGCCGATTTATAGATGAAAGGAAGAAACTTTAAAATAGAGAAAAATCAAAAAAGTGTTCTTTGACGATATTAAAAGAAAAAAAGTCCTCACCTTTTTTTTTTTTTCTTGTAGTAACGTGGACCTGACAAATTCATGGATGACCTTGGAATATACGGAACTTAATTTTTTTATGCGAATTACGAAAAATCTGTACGCACTCGTATTTTTTGCATATTACATCTCACTACTAAAATAATCAACCTTTGATTACAATGCAAACCCTCTGGACGATAAAGAGTCTCTATTGGAGCCAAAGACCGACCCCCTTTTGGGTTCCTTCTGGTTCTTCCACGTTAGTCGCCGGAGACGCCAACCAAAGAGCACCTGAAGTACGAGAAAAGATTCCTACTTCTGAGACCATCTTCATAAACCTGAAGCAAAGACGAAGCCTTTGATTTGTAGCCTCTAGGTTTCCCATCATTATACAACTCTACTTTTGTGTTTTATTCTTTAAGCTATATTGTTGGTCGACGGTTTTAATTTCAGATGCGTGACAGTTGTTCGATGAAATGTCTGAGTGAATAGAAATTAGTGAATTCATTGTGAGTATAGAGGAATTTTTGTAACGGCTTATTGATTGTTTGTTTTTTGGTTTGGGATTTTCTAGATTTTGAACCTGGAGCTAAGTTCCGTATGTGATTACTTATGGCTGCATCAAACGTTCGTAGTAGTAGCAGCTTCTCTCGCAACATATCAGTTGTGTCATCGCCTCAAATTCCTGGTCTCAAAAGTGGTCCTAATGGCACAGCTTTTATATCGACTGGGATTCGTGATCTTGACAGTGAGATTTCTCCTTTTTTTTATCAACTCATCAAAGTATAGATGATGATGATGATGGTGAGAGTTTGGTTTTGGGGCTAAAAGTTTTGTCTTTTATTTTCTTTCCAGGGATACTAGGTGGTGGGTATCCTTTGGGAAGCTTAGTAATGGTGATGGAAGATCCTGAAGCACCGCATCATATGGATCTGTTAAGAACTTTCATGTCTCAGGGGCTTGTTAACAATCAACCACTTCTTTATGCTAGTCCTTCGAAAGATCCGAGAGGGTTTCTTGGCACTTTGCCGCATCCTGCATCATCCAAAGAGGATAAGTCTACTGCGCCAGACCCTGATCAGGTGCTTCTTTCTTGTCCGTACTTTATTTCTGTTTGTTATTTCCTGGCATGACATGAAGAGTTAGTTACAAGTTGGATAGTGTGCATTGTTGTCAATTCTGTAGGGAGAGAGCTTGAGGATCGCTTGGCAGTATCGGAAGTATTTGGAAAGCCAGAAGAATTCTATTGGTAATCTAGTTACTGTGGTCATATAATCTCATCATGTCATTTTTGAATAATCGAGCTACTAGTAACTAGTAAGTTAATATCATTATGTGGAAACCTAATCCTTTTTATCTAATTCTGGATCAGATGATTACTCAAATGACTTTGATATGAGAAAGCCCTTGGAGAGGCAATTTCTTAGCGGACGGCCGATAGATTGTGTCAGCCTGTTAGATTCTTCAGATCTTTCCGTTGCTCAAGACCACTGCTCTACCTTTTTATCAAAATTTTCAAGGTAGTATAACATCCATTTCTTATTTGATTCTCAATTACTTCCATCTTGTTTCGAATCCATGAAAGTTGTTGGTCCACTTCCATGTTTCTATACAGCAAAATATGCCCAAGCTCATTTTTTCAACATCACTCTCGCATACTTCCAAATGTGCTACTTTATTTAGAGAGAATTAGCTTTTTAACCGCTCCAATACTAAGATGATGCATTGTGTTGCCAGTTATTTTATCCTCAAATATTGTTCTAGTTTGGCACTTTGTACGAGTTCTTCTATTATTTTGTTGACTTTGTTTAGAATCTTATCTTTCTTAAGAACTTGTGTGATAATTTCCGCAGAAGCAGCAGTAACATTGCATCCATTGGTCGCATCGCAATCCAGTCATTCAGCTCTCCCTTGTGTGAGTATTCTGATAAGGTAATTATCAGTCAACAAGGTGTCTGTTTACTTTTAACTAAAATTCTCCTGACTCTATAATTTTTGAAAGCTGAAGCTTGTACCAGGATCACAGTGTTCTGTATTATCGTGTTGATTTTTTGACATTTTATTTCTATCAACACAGGAATCAGACATGCTCTCGTTCATAAGATTGCTGAAAAGTATGCTCATGGTTTCAAATGCGGTAGCCATTGTTACTTTCCCGCCTTCTTTGCTCTCACCATCTTCCTCAAAAAGACTGCAGCATATGGCAGATACCTTGCTCTCTATCAAAGCAATTCCAGGTTTGCTTTCCCTGATCTTCTTATTCATAAATAGATCATCGTCGTTGTTTCTTGACAAGTATCCTTGCCTTTTTTTTCCAGATGGTGACAAGGAATTGGAGAAACTCCTCACAGGCTACAAGGATATAAATGGATTCCTCAACATACACAAGGTTGCTCGTATCAACACACAGGTATTTCCAAATTGTAATTCTCTATTTATAGAGGGGATATTATTACCCTGAAACCTGATGGATTCCTCAACATACACAAGGTTGCTCGTATCAACACACAGGTATTTCCAAATTGTAATTCTCTATTTATAGAGGGGATATTATTACCCTGAAACCTGTTAGCCAAAACCCCTTTTGTATTTTGCCAAGTCAAAAAGGATTCACTTTGGTCCTAACACACTGGTTCTATTTGAATTGTTTAATGGAACAGGTGCCTGTAATTCTTGAGGCAAAAACCTTCTCAATGAGCCTGAAGAAGAGAAGATTCTTGGCCCTAGAGTGTCTGAATCAAGCCCCTGTAGACGGGTCCAGTGGAACATCATATGGCACATCTGGTAGCTGCTCATCCAAATCCGGAGCACTCGATTTTTGAGTTGCTGAGTTAGTCTTTCTTTTCTTCTTAGTTTTTTTTTTTCCTCTCCATTGAGTTCTCTGATTTCACTCAGTAACCTGAGCAATTACATTGTAGAGTGTTTGGTCTTAAAAACAGTTTTTGACATTAGCTAAAAAGAAAAGAAGCAATATGTTTTTATAATGAAATCTAATTTATTTCATTTCTGTATTATATACTCTTATGAAACTATGACCAATGATAGATGCTAGTTACTAAACGTTGGATGTAATCACTTAACATGTTCACGTGGTTATTTGTTGAACCAAATAACATAAGAAAGAAGTCGAGGCATTGAATGAAGTGTACAAAAATATGGTTGATCTATATTTGGTGCTCCTTTAATTCAGTGTTCCTTTACTTACCAACCAACGACCATATCATTTGAATTATTGCTCATAAATCTCTCTCTCTACCCAATCTCTCATTATTTACTACCCTATTTTTCTTGACTTTATTAACAAGAGAGAATTCATTCAGAAACTAATATTTTCATATATATTGAAAAAGAAAATATTTCTCATAATTTTTATTTGGTAGCATTTCAAGTAAAAAATCTTTGAGAAACAAAAAGAGAAAACTAGTATGAGAAACAGATCCTTAAAAAAGGAAATAACAGTAATGCACGTGATGATGAGGAACATATAACAAAGGTTTTCTTGTTTTGTTTTGTTTGTTTTTTTCTTCTTTTATTTTTCTTTTATAATAATCAAAAATAAGAAAAAAAACGAGACGTTCATGCATTTAATCTCGCACCTTACGACAAAGAGTGAGAGAGAAGATCGCTCAGGTTTGTTCGTTCTTCACCGGCCGATTTTTTTTCATTCTGCGGTGGGAGAAAGAACGGCCTGTCTTCAGCTCTGAAACAGAGGAAGAGAGACGTGATTTTTGGGCATAGAGGTTAGGAAGGAGACAATGGTTGGACCCTCGCGGCCTCAGATCGTTTTGTTTGGATCTTCCATTGTTCAGATGAGCTTTGGCCATGGTGGTTGGGGCGCCATTCTTTCCGAGGTCTACGCTCGTAAGGTATCGTCCGATTCATCAACCTTTCTCTCTCTCTCTCTGGCACAGATCACTCTCTGTAGCAAAATGTAAAATCAAGTAGATCGCTTATTCTAATTACTGTGTATTATTTCCCCTAATTATACATTTGTTCATTGAAATTCGTCTTAAGCATTGATTATGCGAAAACATGAGTATTCATTCTTCAACGTAATCAAGAACCGTGATGTTATTTCTCCATTTGAATGTTTTGATTATCTTTTTCTGGACTTAAATGTTAAAACGAAAGCAAGCTTTTACCTTGTTGTCATGGAATGATAAACAGGCATTTATTGCAAAACTATATGTGGTGGGATTTGGGGTAGATAGATATGGAGAAATTTAATATGGGCTTTTTTGAGCAAATACTCTTATGTGACTTTTCTCTTATGTGTATAGGTGTAGGCCGACATCATTCTGCGAGGATATTATGGATGGAACTCTTCTCGTGCTTTGGAAGTTGTCGACAAAGTGTTCCCCAAGGTACTCTTTCAACTTCTTCTTTTTTGCTTCTTCTTTCTTGTGAATTGTATACATTCAACTACTCAAAAGGATTACACAAGTGTTTATTTCAGTTGCATATTCTTGGTTATGTATATAAGACCCTGCATCTGTAGCCAGGGAGACACAAGCAGATTCTTTATCTTGATATCTTAAGCTGTTTTCTCTTCCAAAGTCTTTCTGGGATTTTAAAATGGTAGTATCAGTGTACAAAGCTTCCGTTTTCTTCTCTTTTATTGCCTAAAAATTGCAACCTGTAACGGATTCAGGATGCTGCAGTACAACCTTCTCTGGTCGTTGTCTATTTTGGAGGAAACGACTCAATGGCGCCTCACCCTTCTGGTCTAGGACCTCACGTACCACTTACTGAATACGTTGATAACATGAAGAAGATCGCTCTTCATCTTCAGGTACACTTCCTTTAGAATTGTTGTTTTATTAATCTCTCTCTGTCTAAAGCCATTGGAAGCTCTTTCAAATGCTATTTTCTTCCCTATGAAGTCATGGACTGCAATTATAACATCCTCCTCTATGTTCTGTTTCAGAGCCTTTCAGACTCCACCCGTATCATATTTCTTAGTTGTCCTCCAGTGGACGAGGCTAAAGTTCGTCAGAACCAAAGGTACCTTTCCCTGAATTTCTTCACTATCTCTCTGTTTCTCCTTATTAGCTCCCGAATTATTAATAGTTTATGTGCTTCTTTTTTCTCTGATAAGCCCATACTTGAGCGAGGTAATCCGCACAAACGAGCTCTGCAAGACTTATTCAGATGCTTGTGTGGAGCTGTGCCAAGAACTCGGCCTAGAAGTAGTTGATCTCTTCTCTACTTTTCAGAAAGCAGATGACTGGAAAACTGTTTGCTTCACGTAAGTATTTTTTGAGTTGTGAAGAAATATAGAGACTTTAGATATGAATTTTCTCAGAGTTTGCAAATGCGATAACCGGGAATGGAGTTATCGATGTTCATTGAAATGTTTTAACGGTAGTCTGGTTTCTTACAGAGACGGGATTCATTTGTCAGCACAAGGAAGCAAACTAGTGGCGGCAGAGATACTAAGAGTGATTAAAGAAGCGGAATGGAATCCATCACTTCACTGGAAATCGATGCCAACCGAATTCGCAGAGGACTCTCCTTATGATCTTGTTTCAGCAGATGGCAAACAGACAGTAAATTCATCAGAATGGACTTATTTCTGGGAAGAACAATGGGACTAAACATTTCAACAGACAACAACAACAACATGACCCTATCTTTATATAATTCACTGTCTTAATGTGATAAAGCTTTGCTTTAGATTGTTCTACAGGACTACAAGTGTCTCTGCTATAATCTGATTTCGCTCTATAAACCATAAACGTTACCATTTTAATTTAAAGTCTTTGTTATCGTCATGCTTTACATTTATACTTATCTAAAACTTAAATCAAAGAAACACACAAGTTTGTGTTCAAGTAAATTCTTTTTTTCTTGTCTACGTTTTACGTTTAGACATCAACAAATGTCTTGAAACACACATTGTAACACTCCTAGACATGTCAATTAGGCCCAAAGCCCGCGGGCTACCCCGGTCCAGCCCTAAAAACAGCGGGTTTGGTCTTCAAAATATGTGTAGAAAAAAACGAGCCTTTCGGGCTAAAGGGTTTTTTGGGCTTAGCCCGGCCGGGCTCGGACTAGCCCGAAAAGGCCTTTAAAAAATATTTTGACCTTTTTTGTTAATATTTTCGTTTAATTGTAAGTTTTGTTGTAAAATAAATTTTTGATAGAGTTGAAAACTCTAAACTTAGTTTTTTTTGTTGTGTATTACTATAAATCGAAAAAGCAAATATTAGCTCTACTACCTAATTTGAATTATTTTGATTTTATATTTTATTTAGTATAAGTTTAAACAATTTATTTGGATTATTTATTTGATTTTAACTATCTTTTTAAAAAACTAAATTAGCGTTAGTGGTTATTTAAATTTTGATTGACTCGTTTCATATATAGATTTTTTAAAAAAAATATTAGAAATTTTAAGTTTGTTTTTTTTTTTGTCGGAAGAAAAGCCCGGAAAAACCTTATAGCTCTTAGAGGCTTAGAGCCGAACCGGACTTTAAAATATATGCTCAGAATTTTTATGGGCCGCGTCGGGCTAGCCCGATCGACATGTCTAAACATTCCCGACAGGGGTTTAGTGTTTACGGCAAAATGACTAAAATCACAAAGTAACTATATTTGGGCCTTTAACAAAAAAAAAAGGAGATTGGAATTATTTGGGCCGAAGACCTAACACTTAAGGGCCCAAATAAATTGCCATTTACCTAAAAAGTGACGCATCTTCTTCTACTACCAAACCTTTTCGCTGACGCAACCAAACTCCCAAAAATAAAGTTTTATTTATTTTTCTTTTCTCTCTCTCTCATATTTCTTCTTCTTCCGTCTGCTTCTCTCCATCTCCTTCCAACTCTCTCTCTCTTCATGCCCGAACGCATCGGGTCTCAAAAACCATTGATACAGACATCGATCCTTGTCAACTAGTCTTGATCTTATAAATCTGTAGAGATATGGCCGCCGCAGCCGTTTCCTCTAACCCTCGCACCGTTGAAGAGATCTTCAAAGATTATAGCGCTCGTCGTGCCGCTCTTCTTCGTGCTCTCACTAAAGGTCTAATCCTCTCTCTCTCTCTCTCTCTAAATTTTCCCCAGATTTCTTCGTAATGCCTTTGGATTCTCCTTAACTTGTTCGTTTTTTGATTTTTTTCCAGATGTTGATGATTTTTACTCTCAATGCGATCCGGGTACGAAAGATTTCGACTTTTAGATACCCTTTTGTCTCTTTTGTTGAGATTTGATTTCGATTTTTGTGTGGTGTGGTATAGAAAAGGAGAATTTGTGTTTGTACGGACACCCTAATGAGTCATGGGAAGTGAATCTACCAGCAGAGGAAGTTCCTCCTGAGCTACCTGAGCCTGCTCTTGGTATCAATTTCGCTAGAGATGGTATGCAGAGGAAAGATTGGCTTTCTCTTGTTGCTGTTCACAGTGATTGTTGGTTGCTCTCTGTTTCTTTCTACTTTGGAGCTCGTCTTAATCGCAATGAGAGGTACTTCTCTTTTTCCCAACAATTTGATTATGCATTCTCTTTGTTGTGAGTTTTTTATTTAGCCAAAGTCTTGCGCTTTTACTTGATTTTCAATGGATTTTTTTGTGTTCTTCTTACATGAAACCCCCTAGTTGTTTCCCTGTTATGTTCTCTGGCCCTTCTCATGTGAAGTAAAAAATTGAAACTTTGTGATGATTATGGAGTTTGTTTGGAATGAGATTGTCTTTGAATGTGTGTGGAATCAGTTTGTTTTGTTTCTTGGCTCTTTGTCTGGCTAGATTCATATCTATGGACTCTCTTTTGTAGCATGACTTCATCTGTTCTAAACTTTTTCTCAGCTTTTTTGGATATTGTAATGGCTAAACTTGAAACTAGATTACTTTATTGTCATACTTGATTATTCACCATAAATTTACAAGCTTGGTATTTGCTATCCTATGAAATCTCAAAACTGATATTTTGTGGAAGCATGTTCTGAATTTCACCATTTCATTGATACATCTGAACACTCATCTGACAAAAGTTATGTGAAAGTTGAATATCAACAACAAAATTGCTCTTTGATTAGTACTAATGATATCATATCACTGTCTGTGTGTCATCTAGTCTATTAAACAATCTTATATTGGTTATTATCTGTTTCATTGTTCTTCGTTTCATTGTTCTTCAAGAGAGAAGTAGTTTTGGCATTTAAATAGGTATCAATTATAGGTGCAAGAAATTGGACTTTGTTTTCTCCACTGGTTGTTTCATCATACATTAAAGTCTCTAAAGTGATTCTCTACCATTTTAGTCCTCTATCTTATTTACACTACACTAGTTAAAAGTATTTCGTAGATGCATTCCCAAGGATAGAGTATTTAAACCGACATAGCTACAGACATATAATGCTAGATAAAACATCACAATTGTTTGTTGTACTGATATGAAGATACTGGTTTTTTTCTCTTCACTTTGGCTTGCTAATCGAGTTTTTAGCTTATCTTAGCTGCCGTTTTCAATGTTTTGTCCACTCTTGGGAGTTATGTTATTCTTTTGATTTGCAGGAAGCGGTTATTCAGTCTGATCAACGATCTCCCAACTCTCTTCGATGTAGTGACTGGTAGGAAAGCCATGAAAGACAACAAGCCAAGCTCGGATTCCGGAAGCAAATCCAGAAATGGCACTAAGGTACATAAAAAAGGAGCTTCCTTTCTTCTTCTTCTTTTCCGGTTTCTCTATCTGAAAACAAAAATTGTGTTTACAGAGATCAATAGACGGGCAAACAAAGAGCTCAACACCGAAACTAATGGAAGAGAGCTATGAGGAGGAAGAAGAAGAAGAAGACGAGCATGGAGACACTCTCTGTGGGAGCTGTGGAGGTAATTACACAAATGAGGAGTTCTGGATTTGCTGTGATGTTTGTGAACGCTGGTACCATGGAAAATGCGTTAAGATAACTCCGGCTAAAGCAGAGAGCATCAAGCAGTATAAATGCCCGCCTTGCTGTGCAAAGAAAGGAAGACAGTGATGGTGATGAATTGATGATGATGATGATCTCTCAGAGAGACTTTGATCCTCATGTTTTAATCAATATGTTAATCAACTTTTTTTCTTTTTCTTTTCTTTTTTTTCTTTAACCTTTTAATTTAAAAGCATACAAAACTCTCTCTTTAGATCTCAAGAAAGGGATTTCAAGAAGTTGATAAAGAGAGTAGCAACTGTTTGAGTAATATTATTATTATTCATATTTAAAAAAAAAAAAAAACTGGGTTGTTCCATGAAATGTGTCATTGGGTTTGTATATGTAGTCAAATCTTTAAGCTTTGAACTGTATTTTGCACTTTATGTTTTTAATCTTCTGTTAGGTCTTTTATCTGTCTTAAGATTTTGTTTTTCGTGTTTTTAAAGAAAATTATTATCCGAAATTAAGTGATTAATTAGTCATAGAGTCTTCTCATTTGGCCGGAATTGTAAAGAGCCAACATGTTTTCCAAGTTCTGAAGGGCACTAAAATGTGATCGCAACCTTAGAATTGGTAAACCTAAGTTTTATATGCGTCTAGTTTTATAATTAATTATCTATATTATCACAAATCATCTCTAAATCCAAATCTAATTTTTATTCAATCAAATTTAATTTAAAATACTATTTATCTAGCATCATACTCAAGAGAAACTCTTAAAATGTTTTTCGGTAACTACATATTTCAACTTCCATTTTAAAATCTATTAAACGAATAATTAAAAAGTATACCTAACCATCAACTGAATTTATAAGGAATTATAAATCCAAACAAAAATCATTTGTTATTCAATCATTGATTTTAAAATCCTAATTAAAATCATGTGTTATTGGCTCTATGATTTATAAATACTAGTTAAAATCCCATGTTATTCGTTTAGTCATTTGTTTTTGGATTTGAGAATCCAAATTATGTTTTAAATGAATTTTTATGGAATTGAAAGAGAAAAATAGAAGGATTCATATCCATTGGTAAACACATGTTATTTCAAAATCCATATATCTTGATTTCATAATTAATAGAGACTTCCAAATCCTATATGAATTTCAAATTAATAAACCAATAACACCCAATTTTCAATTCATCGACTAACTTTTTTAAAACTATGATTCGATGATAATGATTTGTAGCATAGTGGTTTGGTTTAGGTTTGGGTATTCAAAGTGTATCCCGTCCAATCTTTTTCGTAAACGTTAGTTACAAGCCCCCAAGTCCCAACTATATATATTATAAAGAACTTAAATCGGATCTAACAAGATTCTGTAATATATGGTCAACACAAATTATCCTTTTTATATGCATTACTGTAAAAATGTATATGTAGATACTACCATCTTTAGATACTTAGATATTTATTGCGTTCACATGTCCGTCATTTTGTTTGTCAATACTATTTTTTGAAAGAAAAGCAAATTGTCTAATAGATTAGTTGCTCAATCAATACTGAGAAGACTAGTACCGATAAGCTCCAATATTATTGTTACTAATCATAGAAGAGGACATGATTATTGATAAGCTTTCTTCAACATTAATCACGGATATTGATTTTGCATATTACAATTACAATAGAACCCAAAGACAAAATTATAAACATATATATAGAGACTACAAGGGTAACTACAAAATAATTAACTTAAAACAAATATGATAGTTCTCGGTATTTAGTTGATTCATTTTGATCTAAATATATATCTTCACCGATCTCTTGGAATCTCTCGGTAGTTCTTTAAGCCTCCACAGCTTCGGTTTACTTCAGTATACATATAGCACATTAAAAAGATTAATGTATATCGATGCACACTAGAAATTGAGTTGCATAAAAAAGAAGACTTACAATGATTCTCTTTTATCGGACATTTTGCGAAGTAGATATCAATTAACGAGGGGATAGATGAGACTCAACGTGGGATTTTCCACGTGGACCTTGCGTTCTAATAAAGAGTCTATACTGATCAAAGGTCATGGGAGGATATGAAGGAGGCATCGTAGAGGTGACAAGTTGTTGCATTGGTTGGATCGGAATGTCACTCTTAGGGTTATAGAAGAATGCTAGTGAAACCCTTTCTTTTTCCGAATTCACTATCACTCGATGTTCCACGCTCTTGTATTTCGAATTGCTTAGTATCTGCCGTTTTTTACAAGAGAAATTGTTTGTTAGTATAGCTATATCAAATATAAGAACCTCACTTTTATTGTCTGACGACTAAGAGCATGTGCAGTGGAAGGTTCTCACAAGTGTTCTCAAGAATATAAAAAATGAAAATAATAAAAAGTAAGAGAGAGACATGATCATAGGTTCTCACATGAGAACTTTTGAGAACCTCTTGAGAGACTCATATCACACATGTCAACATGTAATTGGTTTTAAGAAAATTTTATTACTTAAAATTTAAATATATAATTAAACTAATTTATACATATTATAATAATATATTTTGAGAGACTTTGAGAGTCTCTACCACTGCACATACTCTAACATGTACTTCATCAAACGTTAGATTGAATTTGTGATATTTTTCTTTACAAATAATTTACTTTATGTGCAATTTGGCTTTTGCAACATGATTATTGTCTATGATGGTACTCTTAAAGCTACAACCACAAAATATATATTTCTCCATTTATTTATTTAAAATATCGTCTTATATAAAATCAAATCACTTTGCCATGAAAGTGACATAAATAATTACAACTTTTTTAGAAAAATCTTAGCATATTTTAAAATTTTGGCCTGAAGTTGAAACGGTTAACCTTTTATTGCTATTCTAAGTCATGTCTAAAACGTGGATCGGAATTACAACTAGGAATAGGATCCTCTATCAGTAGTTCAGTACCAACTATATCATGACAATAATTATTAGTGTTTTACTTTTTCTTTTTATCAAGATTTTCTTGAGTGCTAACATTTTATTTCTATATCTTAGCGGTGAAAATTATATATATGTAGTAATCCGTTTATAGAATAAATAAAGGAAGTGTAGAAGGTGAAAAGGAAAAGAACAAAAGCAAAAACGTTTTTAAAAAGGTTACCTGAATTTGATCGCCGATATTGACGATAAAAGCATGGCGGAGAGGATTGACGGTGATCCACGTGTCATCGTGACGGACTTGAAGGCCGACGACTTGATCATCCGGCAAGAGGATGGTCATGCCGCCGGGATCGGAATGAGGGGAGAGGCCGAGGGCAAGTTCCGGTTGAGGGCATTTTGGGTAATAATTAACCCTCAAACATGCACCAATGTCTTCTCCACCAAATGCTTCTTGAAGTTGTTCTTCTCTTAGCCCCAAATTTGATGATAAGATCGTCATTAGTCTCCCACCTAGCTTCACTAGTTCTTTGCCGTACTCATCAATCACTTCTCTATATCCATTTTAAAAAGTAGAAATATGCATTATACATTGAAAGATTATTTATATTTTAATGTTTAGGGGAAAAAATAACTCTATTGTAAAATGTAGGTTAACTAGATTTTAACCCGCGGTACACCGCGGGGCTATATTTTCTTAAAAAAATCAAAATGTAATTTGTTTGATAGATTATTTTGATTGTTAATTTTAGGATTTCACCCGTGGTATACTATCTTTTATAAATATCAACCCAAACCCGTCCCATCATATTACCCGTCCCGTGAAATTAAACATCATTTAGTTATTTTTCTTTTTAATAATACTTTTATTTAAAAGCTAAATAATTCAAGTCAATTTAAAAATTTCTTTTATATGGTTCCCATAAGATATATATACATATATACTAAATTTGTATAGAGTTGAAATAATATTAATATTACAAACTTTTTATATAATTTAAATATTATAAATATTTTTAAAAATATGCAATATATATTTTTTGTTATTGAATAAGAGGATATTATGTGTAAGAAATGTAGAAAATAAGAGTTTAATATTTTTATTATGGAGTCGCAAGAAAAATCTTTTATTTCTATACATGTTATTCGTTTATTAATAATAAAAGAAAAGAAATCTTTTAAATTAGATATTAACTAAAATAAACGCACCATAATTACTTATTAAGTAACAACCAATAAATTCTAAACGCAGTAATTAAAGAATGAGATATTAAAAAAAAATATCAAATAAGATATAAGAATCCTAAAATAATTGAATATCTAAATAATTTAATTGTTAGTGTCGATTTTAATGCTTTCATTAATGTGGATTTTTTTTTTTACAGAGAAATATTTCCTAAAGATTATCACATTAATGACTCAGAAAATTAAGGAAGATATGAATTTATGATTCTCGAAATCGTGTTGGTAATATCTTTAATTAATATTTTTCAAATTTAAATAATTAATGCCAATGGCATTCATCCGTAAATACATTCCAACTCCAGGATTTATTTGCTAAAAGTCATTCAAAAATGTATATATAGATTTAACAAAAAGGTTAGTTTCAAATAAAATTAATTCAACTCTTTCTTAAAATTTTTATGAAATTCACATTTAAAATACTATAAAACTGTTTATTAAAATAGAAAGAAGCAATCAACATGGTGATATATTATGTAATCAACATAACAACACTGCAACACATGAATCATTTTTATTTTATATTGATTTATTTCTAAATTATTTTTCAAAGACCATAATCATATATAGTTTTGGACAGTAATTTAGTCTTCTTTTACTCTTACAGAAAAAAGTAAAGAACTCAAACTAGTTTCTGACTTCAGCAGTCTCAGACTTCCCCATGATGTGATTGGATAACAATTACACTAGCTATGAATTCTCAAGTTCTCAAAACTCATAGGAATCATCGAAACCAAAATTCGTTAATTATCTACAAAACTTATAAAGAAGTAAGATATATAGAGGCTTAATTAGTTACCTAATGTTGGAAGGTAAAGAAGGCCATTTGTTGAAATCCTTCAAGGAAAGAGGAAGAAAATGGAGATAGTAATAATCATTCCAATCAAGAATGGCTCCTTTTTCCACACCCAATCTGCTTCCATATCCTTCATAGGTTCTTGGGGAGTTTGAGTAAACTTCTTTGGCTTCAACCGGCAAATTAAAGAAGCTTTTCCAAGTTTCTCTAGCTGCGTCCATCAGCTCCGGTTTCACCCCATGGTTGATCACCTGAATATAGAACTCTACATGTCAACCGAACCAAATCTAAATTTTTCTAGACTAATAGTTAGTTATACTAAAAATGTATGTATAAAAATTAAAAATAATTAAACGTTACTATTTTAGTATTTTTATCTTCTTTATCCAAAATTTCAAACCGAACCAAGACTTCTTTTTGATACTATAAGTCGGTAAGTATTTCTCAAACCAGAAAGAAAAAGCCAATAAAACAAAAAAGACAGTTAGAACTGAACCGTAAA